CCATTTTATTATTATGTACAAGATAGTTTACCTGATGGAAGAATTTTTAACCTCGGGGGATCGAAGAAAGCAACCGCGATTAATGGAGATAATGTCACAAACCCTACATACGAATTCTATCCAGGTGATAGTCAGAGCACTACTATCCAATTTCTTGTTGATACGTAAGTTAGAAAAATTGGTTCATTGTTGTTTCTACGCTTAATTGAAAATCATGTTTTGATTCTCTCCCTAAAATTTCTATAATAAGGCTGCCATATAATCTCTATCCGGCTGTAATTTTACTTCCTGGTCCACCAGGACAAAATTGGCTTTACATGGCAGCGAACAGAAAAGCCCAAATTTGGGATTATGTAAAACAAACAGTAGTAAAGACTTTGCCAGATATTCCCGGTGGTCCGCGTACATATCCATGTACCGGAACATCTACTCTCTTGCCTCTTTCCTATGAAAATAATTATAATGCCGAGATTATAGTTTGTGGTGGCAGCTCTGAACCCTTTGCCCCGGATTCTGTTACCGATAAAGATTGCGTAAGACTTGATTTATCACAAACAAACCTTACGTGGGTTAGTGAGCCATTCGGTGACCTTCCTACAGGACGTCTTATGGCCGATGTTATTCATATGCCTGATGGAAAATTATTATTCGTAAACGGTGCCGGTCAGGGTTATGCCGGATGGGGTAAGTAAATTTCGTAATTATATAAGTCCACTTACAATTTTTTTTTAAAAACACTATAATTTCCAGATAAGGGAACTCCCACTAACCGACTTCACGTGGCTAGTCAACCCATGAAGACTCCTCTTCTTTATGACCCCAAAGCTCCCTTGGGATCTCGATTTACCAGAATGGCTGAATCACAATACGTTCGCGTATATCATTCAACTGCTACCTTAATTCCAGACGGTAGAGTATTCGTCGCTGGAAGTAACCCTAATAATGAATATTGTGATATTTGCGAATACCCGACTGAGTAAGTATGGCGATAATACTGTCATTGTGGTTATGATTATCTGTTTACTGATAAAAAAAAAAAAATAGGTATCGTGTTGAGATTTTCACTCCCCCTTATCTGTTAAATGGTGTTCCTCGTCCAACCGTTAAAAATATTGCTGGTTTTGCCACCTTTAACACACTTACTGCCATCCCAGTCACTTATGGACAAACAATAACTGTGCTGGTGGATGTTAATGATAATTCAGCTAATTTTACGGCTTGCATAATTCACAAAGGTTTTATCACACACTCTCAACATATGTCTGCACGATATGTAAGTCTCAAAGTGGAAAACACGATACCCACGAAAACGGGGTACGCAATTGATGTCACTTTGCCACCAAATCCTAATATTATCCCCCCGGGCAGACATATTTACCTCTACGTGTTAAACAAAGGAACCCCGGCTGATACTGGTATCGAGATAAGCCTTCAAAATACAGTAAACCCTTAGAATCAATTTTTGAGCAGTGCAAATCATGAGTTTGCACATAAATAATGGTTTCCTGGAATGTACAGTGTTTAATAACTTTGGGGAGGACGTAAAGGACTGTGTTTGTATACAGACAAAGATCTCACCTTGCAAATTCGATCACAAGGCTTTCACTATACAATCAATATATTTTTTAAGTAATAATAATGATAGAAGTATTTTAATTAATTATTAGGTCTTTATCGGTCTGCAAGGTATGGAAATGAGGCTTATAACACAAACAAGAATAATAATTTGATTTTAATTAGTTTTATAAGAAACTTTTTAACATGAATTAAAAAATAAAATAATTGAAAATTTGGAATATCATTTATTTATTAAAAATTTAAATTTATTTTTAATTGTTTAATTATTATATTTATTCTATTACTTATTAATGCATATGTTAGAATTGTATCCAAAAGTAGTGACATGAAACATGTGAGCGCGTGTATGCATAGACGCGACTTTATGCAATTAGCTGGTGAGCCGAAATAAGCTATCTGAAACTTCGAGATAGCCGAGTCAAGAGTATGTTAGTAAGCAATTAGGTTAGATATGA